TTAATAATATTTTTTTTGAGTTGTAATAATATAGTGTATATAATGATCATATTGTTAAAAATAAAAGTATTGGTTTATTCTTATTACCTAATAATATTGTGTAACATATCACATATTATATGTGACACTGCTACATGTTACTAAATTATAAATATGAGTATAAATAAGAATAATAAGGAAGAAGGGATATATACACAGTAGAGTTATCCGTACACAAATATACAAACAACTGTTAACATATATAAGRGACACACAATGTTATGTTCGTTAGTTCTGGGTCCAGTAGAGCTGCCCGCAAGCCAACGAACTCCGGAAGACCATACTGTGAGTAAGCCTTTCGATATTTTTGTAGTTATTAAGTATTGCGTATTTTATGAATATTGTTGTGTGTTCATTGAATATTGTGTATGTATGTAATAAGTATGGTGCTATAATAAAAAACATATCAACTAGAGMTTAATATTTGATYTATCTTTCCTGAAGCTCCCGAGTTACGGTTAAAATATAATTCATAGGGCTCTGAAAACCCTCACTGAATTATCTAAATATAACAGGTTCCCCAACCCCGTTACAATTGTATAATAATTTAATTTACTATTGTTTTGGCAAAACCTTAAAGCTTAATGATTTAACTAATTCAAAACTACCTATCTCTTTTAGCTCGTGCTTTGTCATCTGTTCTCTAATAAAAGATTCTTTTTCACTTATTAACCAATTTTGAAGCATTACTAGTGAAGACTGATGAGAACAGGGGGTCACATATGACTGTAATACATAACCACAAATTTATGAGTTATGGGTTTTTAGTCAAGGCGTCCAAAGACGGGATTAGAGCTCATTGAGAAATTTGATACACCAACCGCATCGGCAATTAAGTAATTTATCGCGGTAGTAATAGTCGAGAGGATGTTGCCAGAAATTTTCTAGAAAATATCGTTAACGTAGGCCAATAAAATCGTGGAATTGCTAAAGACAAATGTTCCTATAGTTATATGAGTGACGAATATATGTGAAAATATAATGCTAATAAAAATTGTAATTTTTGTAAATGTAGTTTTCAACACGATTGAGAAAGTTCGCGATCATTGTCACCTGACTGGGAGATTTAGGCAATCTTTAAGCTTTCAATGTAATTTTAAATTAAAATAGTCTAAAATAAATAGTAAATTAAAAATTTGTTCCATGCTTTTTTCACAACCTATCTAATTACGACGCTCACTTTATTGTTACTGGATTAGGATATGACACTAAATAGTATAAAAATTATTACCTAATAGCGAAGAGAAATTTATAACATTTTCGAAATATATAAGTAGCTCGTTTATCATACGATTCGTATATTTTTGTAGGTTATTATGGCATCAAAGTTGAGTACTCTTGCTAAAAACCTTTTAACGCAAGATTTTTCAAAATTCTGCGAGACAGTGAAATATTTTGATGCCTGGGATATGCCACTGGTCACCCAAGGGTGACGTATATCCATTATCCATACGGGTATACGGATGGCTGGGATAAGTTGGACGAGCTGAGTCTACCACCGAAAGAATAATTTTATAGCACGCTTATGGAGAAGGGCATTAAGAATATGCATTATGATCACGCTATGGAGGTATGGACATACTTCGCATTCCAAACGCTTGGTGATTATTCCGATTTGTACTTGAGAGTCGATGTGTTTTTGCTCGCGAAAATTTCCGCGATCTTTGCATGAAAACGTATACAATATAGACCCGGCTTTTTATTATACGGGCCCAGGTTTCAGCTTCGATTCCATGTTGAGATTAACATCGGTAAAATTAGAGCTTTTAAACCGATTATGACAATATATGCTACCATGTATCGCAAAACGTATGTAAATTAGGAAAATTAATTTTTAAATGTTATAAAAAAAAAATTATACTATATGTATACGCTGTGGATTAGCATGTGTTATGCTAAAGCCACGGTTATCTACTAGATAACCGTGGCTAAAGCCAATAACTATAAGGTACCTGCAGGTATCTGATTATGATGAAACGAAAAAGAAATCAAGGCTTATATATAGCATTGATTAAATATACTTATTATTACTTAATATTTAATCAATGTATATAGTTATATATCAAGATTTTAAATATATATATTTTTTTAAATTTTATTAAATTAAAAAAAAAAACATTTTACACTTTACAGTTAACAACCCGCCTCTACGGGTGGGCTATGGGACAGTACATGCCATCTGGAGTTTTTAAGTGGGTTGAACGGGCATGGACCAGTTGCCCCTAAAACAATATTTGTATTTTAGATCAGTACATCAATTGCGCCTCTTAAATTTTAGGTCAGTACACCAATTTCGCTACTTATATTTTAGGTTTCCTTATTTTTACATGGACATAATATATAAGTTACTACACGGCGGAAAAAGTTACATATGTATATACACAATTAAATATAGCTAACTAATATACATTTAAATATACTTTTTTATACACCTTGAATTCAACAAAAAAAACTTAATATTCTCAAACTGATAACATAGATTATATTTATGTTGTAAAAATAATAGAAACGCTACACTAATTTTATATTTATTTATATAGATTAAATAAGACAATAACTATAACAATATAATAATAATATTAGACACATATATCAATATTATACATATATTCTATAATCTACTTTATATACAGGGCGATAGATTTTTCAAACAACACTCACTATTTAAAAAAGTATTGAATTTTTTCAAAATATTTTTTACAGTTTCAAGTTGTTGAAAAACCAACGTTTTTATTAAAACATTATATTTTTAAATATTTTTTATCCTTATCATTTTTTAAGTTTTATACTTTTTTGAATGATAACATAGAGTTTTATTTCATATTCCAAAGCAGAATATTTTTCTAAGAATTTTGATTCATAAAAATCGAATTTAGGACGAGTAGTTTATGAGTAATAAGTATTTAAAGTTTAGACAAGCGGAGTAGTGGACAAACATTTTGCATTTTTGCGGGGTACCGTACAACTCCACTCTGCCAATCTAAACTTTAAATACTTATAAACATAAACTACTCGTTCTAAATTCGATTTTTATGAATCAAAATACTTAGAAAAATATTCTGCTTTGGAATATGAAATTAAAACTCTATGTTGTCATTCAAAAAGTAAAAACTTAAAAAATTATAAGGATAAAAAATATTTAAAATACATTTTTTTAATAAAAACGTTGGTTTTTTAACAACTCGAAACTATGTAAAAAATATTTTGAAAAAAGTTAATACTTTTTTAAATAATGAGTGTTGTTTGATAAATCAATCACCCTATATATCACATCAGGGTTTGAAGTACAAGACCCAGCTGGTTATAAAACCAATAAAAAGCACAAAAAAACAATTTGTTAGAATATAAAAAATAAATAAATATTAATAATATTAATGATAAAATAAACGTTTTTTAATTTTTTTTTACTTTCCAAGATTGATATGTTTCATACCTAAATATAAAATATAAATATATAATAAAGGAAAAATATTTAAATTTCTATATAATAAACAAGCAAATGTTTATGATTTGAAGGACTAATCATTAAAACCCGACCTAGTTGGGGTTTTTGAACCATGAACAACATTGAGTTATTTTATTTCACTTGTGAAATAAATTTTATACACTTTAACAGGAGTAACAGGCTTGTTAACACTAATTAAGATACAAACAAATGTAATATTACTCTATAGTCTAATATCACAGGATTCAACCTGGTGTTACAATAAATAGTATAAGAGACCAGATTGATTTATGAATAAATATTAAAAATGACAGATGCATTTTAAGTACAATTGCACAATAAATAACATTTTAGAAAATATATTGCATTTCTAAAGTATTTAATCAATATATACCCTTTCTAAATGTTCTGCACAAGAAAACACTTGATTATGGATATAATATTTACACAGCTGTTACTCTATAAGTGTTAACGTTTTTGAATAGATGTTTCATTTAATAGGCYTTTCATCAGTATGTATTCTTGTATGCCTTTTTAAATGCTGTGCTAGAGAAAATGCTTTATTACAAATATCACATATATATGGCTTAAATGAGCTATGTATCTTCATATGAGTTTTTAAATTTGCTGCATGAGAAAATGCTTGTTTACATGTATTACATTTATAGGGTTTTTCTCCAGTATGTATCCTTCTATGAACTGTTAAATGTTCAGCTTTAGAAAATTCTTTTTTACAGATTTCACATCTATATGGCTTTTCACCGGTATGTATTCTCATGTGGGTTTTTAAATTTGTTTTATGAGAAAAGGATTGTTTACATATATCACACTCGTAAGGCTTTTCTCCTGTATGTGTTCTTGCATGCCTTCTTAAATTATCTACTTGAGAAAATACTCTTTCACAGACATGACATTTGTGTGGCTTATCTCCAGTATGTACTGCTGAATGCCTTTTTAAATATGCTGCAATAGAAAACGATTGGTCACAGCTATCACATTTAAATGGCTTGTTTTTAGTATGAATCTTTTTGTGTTTTGTTAAATCTTTTTTTAGAAAAATTTTGTCGCAGAAATTACATTTAAATGAACGTTTTTTTATAAGTGTCTTAGTATGCTTTTTAAAATTTCTTTCTCGAGAACATGATGAATCATAGATTTCACATTTTTTAGACTTTTTTTCAAGATGTTGCAATATGTGTATTCTCAAATTTGATTTTATATTATATGATTTATTACATTTGTCACAAACAAATGTCTTTTTTATTTTACTGGCATGAATCTTAGCATGTTTAGTCAGAAGTTCTTTTGAATTAAATAATTTATCACAGATGTTGCATTTGTGGTAATAATTTCCAGCTTGAGATTTCTTATTAATTGGAAATTCATTACTACATGCATTAAGAGACTTTTCCCTTGAGTTAGATCTCAAGTCTGAATTTAAACGAGTAATTAATTCTGAACAGTGACTTTCCCTAACACAAAATCCTTCAAATTCATAACCATCAATAATAACTCTTTCAAATTTGATTTGGTGTTCAATTGTATTTACTTGTTCTTTGACATTACAATGAGATCTGAAAAATAGAATTATTTTTTAAATTAATGTTATAAAGATTTAAGTATGCAATTTGAGAATAACTTTATTTCGTTCATATAACATCTAAATTTAATATGTAAATCCTACACAAAATCAAGAACACTTTTTGATTTAAATGTTGTGGATAAACATTAGACAAATCAACAATGTTTTTATAAACTTAATGATAACTAAAATTGTACATTTTATATGTTGAAATGGGTTGATTTTGTTTTAGGTTTAGATTTTTTTTTTCAACAGATATTAAATAGTTATATTTTAAATATTGTAATTAGTATATACTTGTATGCTGTGTGTTAATATATTACATTAGGCATTCATAATATAGAAAACCATTCAGTCTTGGTCTTTATCTAAGGGTTATAGATACCCAAATAGCATTGGAAGATAATTATTATGTACCAATTATGAAAATAGTTTAAGAGATACACATTTTTTAATCAGTGGTATTCTATCTTTGATAACACAATAAATTCCAATTAGTTTTTAAAATTCTTGTTTAGAAATAGAATACGTCTAAATTCTTATTTTGTGAGTGCTAGGGAAAATAATCACTATTTACAATATATAAGAAACAGTCCTTATAATCCATAATATAATTCTGTTGTTTTCAAAAAGCACTTTTTATTTTTAAATGAGAGCTAATTTACATAATATTGTACCACTTAAGTAAAGATAATTATCCAAATCATTTTAGAGGTTGTTTTAATAGACATTTGAATTTTAAAGTTACCTATGATCGTTTTAAAATTTACAAACAATCTACAGTTCTAAAATGCTCATAACTAGCTTTATTATAAATAAAATATTTGAACATTTAAAAAAATAAAGAAAGGGACAATGTTGCTGTGATCTGTTAAACAATTTACACATTAAAAATTAATCAAATTAATTAATTAATAATTTCGGTTGGTGGTTCTCATTGGTGTCTATAATTGGATAGTTTCTTTTTATATTATTCTTTCTGTATAGAGAACACTACATCCCCAGTTATGTAAAACATAGCAAAAATTCTTTTACACAGGAAGAATGAGGAGGTTACATAACTAAAAAATTTGATGTTTACCATGTAAAAAGAACTTTAGCTGGGATATGTTTTTATTTTTTCAACAACTAAACTACAAAAAAGTTATTCAAGAGTGAAAAACATTAAAATCATTAAGAGGATGCTACACCCACATGTGTTGTMTTCATCTTACAAGTGCGTAACATACCAACTTTTACACTTAGTAGATAACTAGTTGCTTTGAGGTTGGGGGGGAGGGGGGTTGGCTATGCCGTTAACTATACCAGGCTTGCGCCTCTACTAGTGGGTGGAAGATTGAAGATGGTTAGGTTTATTGGTTAGTCCAAGTAAATGGGTAGGGTTTTGGATGTTTTACGGTAGTAGGAGGAGTGTGAATTTTGCCTAGAAGTTGATCACAGTTGGCTCCGTAAGTTTAAAATTAAAATTGAATGACCTCTTATAAATATTAAAGCTAACATTGTTTTCAAGGGCTTCTCATAGGATTTATATTATATTTTAATTTTAAAGCAAGTTATAAGTATTTTAAGATATACAAACAATTTACAATTATAAAATACACATAGCTCGCTTTAAATTTAAAATATAATATAAAACCTATGAGAAGCCCTCGATAATAATGTTACGTTTAATTTTTATAAGAAGTCAATTCTCTCTCAATTTTAAACTAAGTGAGCTAAACGTGATCAGTTGAGCGTACAATTTGTTATGTTACGCATTTTTAAGACAGAGACAACACACGTGGGTGTAGCGTCCTCTTAATATAAAAAAATTAAACCAATATTTTACATATTATAATGTTTTCAATTATAATATAATAAATAAATTAGGAGTCTTTAATAACACTACAGCCTTAGTTGATCTACCTCATGCAAAGCGGTGTTTTGGGTGTAGTTTCCTCTTAAATCAAATGTTAAATATAATTATTAGGTTAGTAAATAGTATAATTATATTTTAAGTTGTGCTATAAAATAAATACAATTCTTACTCTTTTTGTAATAATTGAGCATTATTATGGTCTGTTTCATCAATAAATTCTTGTTTAATAATTCTGTTAAATACTTGATCATCACATCTAATAAGTGGAACTATCAACAATCTTGAACCGTATAACATGTCATGATAGCTAAAAGAAATTGAAAAAAATTATATTATTTACTATTTAGAAGGCTTATAACTGTTTAAATYTAATACATTGTTTTAATGACACAAATAAATAAATTATAAAAACACAAAGTTTCACAAAATAAAATAATTTTAAAATGTTATCTTTTTGTAATGCTTTACTACCTAATAGTGTAATACTTACATGGAATTTATTGTAGAATCATTTATATATGACCTTAATGGTTCCATACTGCATTCTTTTATCCTTCGTGTTTTTTGATAACTGTAAACATGAACCATAAAAATTATGTATCTTTTAAGTCAAATTGGTCATTTGGTGGGGGGATGGAATGCAAGCTATATACAGCCGAATCCGCTTAATAGAGACACCAACGGTTAATAAGGAAAACCGCTTAATAGGGACAATTCTTCAATTACGAAAACAAATGTATACTTGTATACTTGTATTTAGAAAACATCATGATTGGTGGGCAAATGTATTGTCTACAAAATTAAAAATTTGAAATTAAGTACAAGTCATCTTTGATTTATAGTCAAGTTTTCAAAAATAACAGGATACCATTATTACCTAGTAAACTCTGCCATATACTTGTATTACTCGTCAMAACGCTTTTTAACTCAAAACTGACATTTCTATAAAAAATAAATTTAAAATTTAAAACTGAAAAGAAAAATTAAAATTGTAAAGAAAAAAACCTTATAATTATTATTTAGTTGTAATAGCAAATCATTGATCAATAGAAAACGAAATAATATCACTTTGGTACAATATAATAGGGATATGATTATAAGAAGTACAGTAGGGTCTTGATAATCCAAACGTGATTGGGGAAAGGGGTCGTTCGGATTACATATGGCTTAAAAAAAACAAAATCAATTTTATTTTTATTTGTATTAATTGTGTAAAAACTCGTAATTTCAAAAGACAATGAATACATAAAAATATTAATATAATTATGAGTATAATTATGAACTTTAGCATTTAAAATATTGATTTTTTTTTTTGTACATTGGTTCCCATTATGGATTGGTATGCCTTGTCCCATATAATTAAAAAACTTTATTACAAGAAAATATTATTTATAAATACATAAATATGTACATATGTACATATTATGGCGATAAGTTAATTCTCAAGCCCGTTCGGATTACCGCGTCTTTCGGATTAGCTTGTGTTCGGATTATCGAGACCAAACTGTGTGTTGTTTTAACAAAGATATAATAGTGTATATAAACATTTAACAGTGATAAATTATAATAATTGATTAGTTATGTACAGTGGCGTATCTAGAAGTTGGGTTAGGGAGTTATAACTTACCTTGAAATTAACAAAAAAAGAAAATACTAATAGTTTAAAAAAAGAATAAAGTGTTATTATACATAACAGTTTACACAAATTATAATAATGAAGAATAACCAAGTATTAATAAAATGAAGCACTAAAAAAAGAAATTAAAGAAAATAGGACTTGCCTTTGTTCAATTATTAGAAGTGTTTTATTTTGTGGACAGCTAGGCATTTTACTAAGAGATCGCAGAGATTCAAGAGTACTTTCTGTGAGTGAAGAAGAATGTAGGTTTACAATCAATGAAATTTCAATGAGATAATATCTTATATTTATGCTTAAAAAGTAAATAATAATAGCTATATTAGGCTTAAAAATCATTTAGCTATGATTAATAAACAAGCAACATATTTAAGTCCAACGATTCAAAATTAAATTATATAAGTGTATAAGTATAACAAATTGATTCTTAAGCAATTAGTAGACAAATTAAATAATGCTAAAGCATTCACCATATTGGCAGATAGAATAACCATCCCAAACAAAAAACAAATGTCATTGTGTAGATGTGTTTGAAAAGGACTATCTGATGTAATTCTAAAATCTATGTCTGATTTGAGACTTAACTCTAATAATTAATTGGTCAAGAATATAATAGCACAGCAGTCATAAGTGGCAAGTATAATAGTGTTCAAAAATATATTTGTGATAAACATCCTGAAGTGTAATACTTTAATTATAATGTCCACTTTTTAAATTTGGTAGTAACTTTTAGTTGCAAAGTTCTTTTGATTAGAAATTATATAGGTGCTATACAAAAAGTGATACATTTTTTAAGGTATCCAAAAAGGCAAAATATTTTTCAAATATAATAGAACCTAATTTTAGTTTCCAGAGAAAAAATGTTTTAAGCTAAAAACATTACGTGYCACTCAATGGGTTGACTGTCACAATGCAATGACATTGTTTTAGATGAGTTAAGGAGTTTATCATAATATTTACAATAACCTGATATTATTTTAATAGAAGCTGATAAATTAATTAGAGAATAATTTGTGTGTTTGATACCATATTAAAAGAAGCTAAGCTAAAAATTAATGAAAATCTGTTCAAAAATATAATTTTGCATAAGGATAATGTTATACAAATTAATACTGCACAATTTAAAGAAGTTTAGCAAATAAGTTAAAAAACTGGATGATGAATAATAGTTCATCAAGTAACAATTTTTCAGATAAAAAACATTTCCAGGAAAACATGAATACTTTTAAAAATATTATATAATATATATTATATAATAATAATTATATTATTATATAATATAATCCAAAAAGTTGGCATAAATCAAATGATGGTGAAATAGAAAATATAAGGTATGTTAACTCAAACATTCAAAATTTATATCAACAATTTCGTTTTAATGAACATGATATAGGTAATTGAAAGTTTTAGAATTTTCAAAATGAATTTAGGACAAGGGGATGTACCAAAAGATTTAAAGTCACTTTTCAATTCAATTAACATAATTCCTATTTCAACAAGTGAATAGGAACAGAATTTTAGCGCCATAAATTATATAATTTCACTGCTAAAAATTTCACTATCCATACAAACTATTACTGTACTGTTATTTATCTACTGCGTAGGACCACCTTTAATAGAATTCAAGCTATAAGAATATGTAAAGTCTTGATTATTAAAAGGTCAACATTCCACTGATGATATTGACAGCCATAAAAGAGAAAACAAAATATAAAATAAGCACAAATCATAGGCGTGTCTACGGTGGCAGCCTGGGTATCTGGGCTGCCCCTGCAATTTTCAAAAGGTGCCTGCCAAACAAATTTTAAATCTGATAGTTTACAACTTTTATTTAGAAAAAAAAATGGCATGCATTGTTTATTTTGTTATAGTAATATTACATTACATCGTCGAATTGATGTATCGATCTCTTTATGATTCTTAACACAAATTGCGATAATAATATGTAGATAACTGCCAACTGATACAATTTATGAAAATATGAATTATTTTTATAACTATTGAATTCAAAAATTAGTGTAGGCACACTGTGATGATGTTGACCCCACTAGATTTCGGAATAACCTAGTCTATAAAGTAAAGAAATAAAAATGTTCCTACAAAAAGAAAATTTGGTCATTGAATTTTGATATACTTATGCATGTTATAATATTATAAAATATATATATTATGTGTTGTTCAATGTTTTTCTTATTATTAAACATATAGGTATAAGGTGTTATATAATTTATATTCATAAAATAAAGAATTTTCATCCACTAGTCACTGTCACGTATAGTTACACATCATATAAATCGTTTATTATCTAATTTTATTATATTGTGTAATCTGGTCTGAATAGATGAATAATATTTCTAAAGTCAAATTTAAAGGTACTAAAAATACTGTATATTATTAATTGTAAACCAATAATACAGATTTTTTTAAAACTAAATAAATATTAAATTGGTGGACTACCAATCAATTGAAGGGGGGTATGGGGCATTTTTTTGTTCATTAAGGTGGTGACAGTTATTAGCTAGGCTGCCACTGCGGATGTAGTCTAGTCACACCTATGACATAAATCATTAAATACTATAATAGATTAATAAATAATATTTAAGTTAGGTTATCTATAATATAGATTCTATATYATGGTTAGGTAATAGGAATTTTAATTTTAACCATGTAATTAAATATTAATTTACTGATGAAAATTGTAATTTTAATATTAGAATAGATCTATATCATATTAAAGATATATTTAGTAAAAATGAATAGCATTTCAGTTCAGAAAGGTTTTCATTTGTGGCACTGAGTATCATACTTTATACTATTGAAAAGAAATACATTTGAAACAACTTACAAAGTACTTACTATCACTGAATAATATATATGTATCACCAGGCTTTTGTGAAAAAGTGATTGGACTATGATGGCTAAATACACCTTTAAAAGCCATATATTTAATACATTTAGTACACCATCGTGCAATAATAAATTATACAGAAGTGGTACATAATAATACGAATTATAATGAAGTGCGAGGCAATAAAATACTATACAATCGGCGGCTGTAGTTTAGGATCACAAATTAATAAATTAAAACAATAAAACACGAAAAATACTAAGACGGGTTACGGTTGTGAAGTTAGATGTGAACGTCATGATTCGGGATGTCTATGAAGTTAGCTTCCGGACGTTGAGCGATTATCAACTCTGATAAGGTAGGTAACCGTATTCCTGCATACTCTATTGCCTATTCATGTCTTATAAGGGGTTATAATAAAAATATTTATTTTTCAGATAGAATTCAGAATTCAAGGTGGTCGATGGATGAATGATTAATTATTATTATATTAAAGCAATAAAATGTATAATGCACATTATGTACCTACCTAATTTTAAAAATAGTTATCATTATTAGAAAATATTACATAATGGAACATTTTAAAGTATTTAACTACMTATTTTGAACTAGTAACAATATGGTAATATAAATAATTAACTACGTTATACTATAAAAAATATAAGTTTACAAAAAATCGTCTACTATTATATATACCAATGTTGGATTTTCTCTTAACTATTTTTATTTTTGAGAAATATAACCATTATAGCGTTATACAATGCATGCATAAAAACTAAAAAGGCAATATCATTACAAGATGTATAATGTTAATAGGTAATACATTTTATTATCAATAGTGTGCCATAAAAACGAAGCGATTAAAATATTTTAAAAATATGTAAAAATATTTTACGATATTACCGGTCGGACGGAAGCACGGTATATTTGGAACGTTTTTTCGAAATGAACACCAAAAAATATGTTTTCCAAACAATTTTTAATCGAAAGGACAACAAATTTAGATTCAAATTTTGTAGTTTTCGAGTGCGGMACGAGGGGGAATTGGGCACCAGAAAAATAATATGATATAAAGAATATGACATTTTACGTATTTTCTAGATGACTTACTATAATACTACTGAGTACTGAGTGACAGTGAGTGTTAATCATACTTCAGGTTATGTATTTTTGTTTCCTAATTGATGTTTATGATTTATGAATTGAATAGGTATATAATTGAATATATATATACTAGTAAAATAATATAACAGATAAAATTGTTTATAAGACTATACTTTTCATTTATTCAATGTACTTTAATACATAAATTATATTATTTAAATAGAATAATATTTAATTATACAAATATTATTAAAAAATTAGGTAATAACATCTTTCTTACATAATATGTACACAATACACATATTTTAGGCTTTTATATTGAATTATTTAGCTTACAAAATTTAATTCTAACCAATCCTTTAGTTTATATTTACAATTACAATTATGAATTAGATCTTTTACAAAGTCTAAGAAAGTTGTAAGTTTTCTGTATGGATTTTTAATTACTAGGTTACAAACAATTAGGTACTAAAAAAAAAAAAATAGTTGAAATTCACAATAATTTTATTTTTAAATCAAGAACATTGGCAAATTATTTTGAAATAAAAAATGTACCTACACCAGAGGTACTCAAACTGTGGATCACAATTATATTTCTAGTGGCCCGAGTTAATGTTTAGCGAAATTATTGAAAAATGTAAGCATTGTAAGCTCATGATTATTGATTTTTACCGACTTCTATAGTATGTACATGAAGTTGGCCACCCCACTTTGTCCGATCGACTTCAAAATACCACCAAATAATTGCAAATTAATTGAAAATCGAGTTTCGCTAATTGCAAATCATCCAGTTTTGAGTAAACTCAAATTCAAAATTGGGGGGGCCAACTTCATGTAGCCCCCCCACTTTGTATGATCGACACCAAAATACTGCCAAATAATTGCAAATCGAGTTGCCCTAATTGCAAATCGTTTTTTAATATTTTTTACGAATAAATTTTTCAATTTTTTAGCCAGCCCCCCCCCGTTTTTTCCGATCGACACCAAAATACTGCCAAATAATTGCAAATCAAGTTGTCCTAATTGCAAATCGTCTTTTTTATATTTTTTACGAATTTTTCAATTTTTTAGCCAGCCCCCTCCCCCCCACTTTGCCCTATCGACACCAAAATACTACCAAATAATTGCAAATCAAGTTGTCCTAATTGCAAATCGTCTTTTATATTTTTTACGAATTTTTCAATTTTTTAGCCAGCCCCCCCCCCACTTTGTCTGATCGACACCAAAATACTGCCAAATAATTGCAAATGATTGCAAATGTTGTTATTTTTCATCTCTCCCCATAGGTCCAATGTAACCATACAAACGATTTTTTTTTTCATCAAATAAGTGATTTAGTGACTTACCTACTACGCTAATTTATTTCAATTTTACAATTAGTTTTTTTTTATATGACATAATAATATTAGTTAGTACCTACCTTGTATGATTAGGTAAATGAATTAATTTCAAAAAATAATCATATTATATTTTTTTWAAAAACATTTTGTATTTTATTTATTAAATATTAATGTAAAATAATTGTTAGAATTCTTCCTGAATATATATATAAGAAGGTGCGGGTTCACACTTGTTTTTTGAGCGTTTATAGGTGATTTATTTTTTTTTTTGCAGGTCGTTATGCGTTTCCCATACACCATTGAACCTTCTTACGTTTGTTACGAATCGATCTACTGACATGGGACTCCGATCGTACCGTAATATTTGATTTTTTAGCTCATTGAAACTACTTTCTACTGGAGCTGAGGTTGCAATTAAAAAAGGAGAATCGAAAATAGTTTTCATTATACCTGTCCAAAGTAGAAAATCGTAACAAAGTCGTTCTATATATTTTTCTAATTCTGGTAAATAATAGGCTGACATTCGATTTCCTTGAACTGATGCATTAGCTTTACCTTCTTTTCCAATGCTATTAATATAATTCACAATTCCTAGGTTGTGGTTTACAATTTCATTGTTTTCAATAAAAATATCATAACTTTCGTCTTCGTCACCATCAATAATTACAAAAGTATCATTGGAATTACCTTTCATC